TAGAAATGTCTTTCTGCAGTTCCCTGTGATAGTGTAGTGTGGCTTTATAAAATATTTCATAATTCTGACTTATGTTTTGACGGTTGTTGTCATTATTGTGTTGTTAAGACTCATTTCTTTGAAAATTTGTATCATTTACTTTTAAATGTAATTTAAATGTTTACATTTAAAATTTTATTATCATTTTAATTTGTCTTCCTTATTGCCTAGTGTACAAACGTCATTGCATTGGTCTTGTCCATGGAACAGTGTAGGATAACCGTTTTGACAAGTACATTATAATATCCAATATTCCGTTGTGCTACTTTGTAATAAGACAAATACACATCAAGGTGTGCCCAACCGACCTGAAAATCTCTATGTTGTGGTTGTAGCTTTATCGAAAGCAAGTTGATGGCTCTTGTGAAAGCAACCAATAATGTCGACTCAAGTTCCTGTTTAAAGGTTTCACTCTGTTTAGTGATAAATAATTGTGCGCATCAGGCCTTATGTATTGCGTGTTTTATTTATAGACATGATTGTGTAATTTGACATTTTCCACTGGACAAAACTTAATTTGGTTGAGAAAATAAAAAATTCAATTGGCACAATGTTTGGCATTATATCAATTTAGATTTTAAAGGAATAGTTCACCCACATGAACCTTGAATGGACCTTTGTCATCGTTTACTCACCACTGAATTGTTCCAAACCTGTATGACTTTTTTACTCTGTGGAACATAAAAGGAGAGGTTTTGAAGAATGTTCAAGCTGCTCTTTTACGTATAATGATAGCATACAGTAACCAGGGGAAGCCAATCACCATAAAGGACAACACAAAATGTTTTGACATTTTTGGATTAACTATTCCTTTAAGACACCAACTGAATCTCTAACAACAACAAAAAAACATATTGCTTCAACTAGAGTCTGAATAGAGACAATGCTTTTGAGTCTACATGTATGATGTAATTTAGAGGTTTATTGAGCAGTTTCATGTGTACCAGACGTATTTGAATTTTAGATTGTACTTGGGAGGTGCTCCAACATGGACAGCCATTTGTGTTATTACCAATGAACACATCTGTTTTAAGTGTATGGCTGTATTTTTTTTTTGTTTTTGTATGTGGAACAAAATGCAGCATTTATACGGTTGATGGAAACTAGTGAGGACAAATGTTGTGTTGTACAGTATTTGATTACTGTTGCTGTATATGTTTTGCTAGATTTATATTCTATGAAACTAAATATATGAACTTTGAAAACTTGAATATGTACTTGGAGGTAATAATAAAGATATATAACATACAGTATTGTTTTTAAGATTCAGCTTTTCAATCCCACATTTCCGTCTCCGTAGAGACCCAGTTCGCACCTTTCTCTGCTGTGAAGTTCTTCATCTCTTCATTTCTTTATCTCCTGCACGCCTGACGTCCTTGACAGGGTTTCGCGTCACACTTCCCAACTGAGGGTAGTCACACTTTTCTATTTTCACCCTGCTTTCCCACCACTGCTCTTTTTTCTGTTCTGGAGTAAACAAAGGACATAAACATACAATTTCAGATTTTAAACCAGTATATTCAAACTTCAGAATCATGATATGAAGTGGGAATAGTTCACCTATAAATGGGGCAAACATTCTGGGAAAACTTAGATTTTGTTTTATGTTTTTGAAAGAAGTAAATAATGCTTACAAGGCTGCATTTAGTATATAAAAAGAATGTAAACAGTAATACTGTGAAATATTATTAAAGGGGTCATATGATGCGATTTCAAGTTTTCCTTTCTCTTTGGAGTGTTACAAGCTGATTGTGCATAGATAAGATCCCTGAAGTTGCAAAGACTAAAGTCTCAAAACCAAAAAAAAGCATCATATGACCCCTTTAAAATTTTAAATAACTGTTTTCTATTTTAATATATTTTACAATACATTTTATTCCTGAAATAGCAAAGCCATTACTCCAGTTGTCAGTGTCACGTGACAGAGATCATTCTAATATGATGATTTAGTGCTCAAGAAGCATTTATTATTGTTATTATTATTATTTTATTATTAATGTTAAGTAGCGCTGCTTAATACTTTTTGGAAACAGCAATACATTTGTTTTCAGAATTCTTTGGTGAATAGAAAGTTCACAAGAACAGCATTTATTGTAACATTATTAGTGTCTTTACTGTCAATTTTGATCAATTTATTATGTACTTAATGAATACAAGTATTCATTTCTTTCAAAAATATTAAAATGTTACTGGACCCAAACTATTTGCTGAAATCTTCCCGCCGCATCAAGATGCACTGCATCAGGGTCAGTGATAACAAATAACAATTTTGAACAATGTGCCGTGTTGAAATATATGTAAGTGTGAATTCTACTTAAATCCACTGTATAGCTTCAGGAGACTTATGGTGCATGAGTTGTTTGCACTAATTTTATCAAGCTTAGTTGTCCTATTTGTATTGAAAAGAACAACAAATGCAAGTTTGGGAAGACTTGAAGGTATGAAAATAATAACAGAATGTTAATTTTTGGGTGATTCACTTTAAGATGATTCGTTTTGATCAGAAACATTTGGAAAATGTGTCCTGTGAGGTTTCACAATGGGTTAGTTATTTATACCTGGGGCTTTGCAGAAAGGATGTTTCAAATTTGATGTCAGATCTCTTTTCATGCTCTTCCGACTATGAAGTCTGCGGAAGATATGCCTATTTGTGATTTTGGATGTCTCTGTACCTGCTGGTTAGTCGCTGATGCCCCTGAGGGCATATTTCCTGTTCTATTATGCCCATTTTTTGGAGAAGTATGTCGTTGGCTTGAGGAACTGATTAAAATTAAAACACTGCCACCTTGTGGTAAAGACGCTGGTTTTCTGATCAGCAGTGAGGAAAGGGACTTTGCCATGAATAAGTGAGCACTGAACTGAGACATCTTGGTAAGATAAAGCTCCTGTTTGTGTCCCTGTTTCCAAGGTTATTGGGAGATTCCCATCATGCCTTTCTGTCTGCAGATGAGAAAAAACAAACTGATTTTCCTTGTGTTTTCGTCCACATATCACTTGTTTCTGACTGTCTGAAAGTCTGGATTTTACCTCACTTTGACAATCACAGTTTGATTTTGCCTCTTGTTTGCAGGATGGAGCTTGTGAATGTGTTAGTGTTAAACTGTCCACCGATAAGCAACAGTGCTTTGTCTTGACACTATCTTCAGTATGGCACAGCTGTTTCTTTGAGCAGGCACACTGTAGGCACTGGTACATTTTTTTGTTTATATATATATATATATATGATTTCAGGGGATCATAAAGCTATAACAGGTTTTATTTTTTATAAACAAAGGATAATTGTGAACACTGTGAATGTAATATTCTTTCAGTGAATGAAGTGAATTATGTATCCATTGAAATACTTTTAAGAACAAAGCCAAGCATTCTCATTATGTTAAATGTGGTCATTTTTCACGCACTATATACTAGGAGAGATTACAGAAAGCAATTTAATTATTATGGCGATTAGGATTATTCAGATTACAGGACAGTTTTTGTTTTACGTCATCTGAGCTGAGATGAACTCCTCTTGGAGATTTGCCAACATGCACAAAGACAGTGCTACCATCAGCACCTGCTGAAACATCATACAACTTGTTGTTCTGAGTGAGCACCATTAAAATGATACTTTATAAATAACAATAACCAGAACACTTACATGTGTTGCTGTCAGTACATACAAATTCCTGAAGAAAAAAAAATGAGAAGATCAAAACACAAGCCAAGTTGGCATCTAAAAAACAAGTTTATTATAAATGTACTGAAGCTTATGTCTATGTTGCTTTTAACCACAAGGGGGTAGTATTTATGTACAATTAATAGCAAGTTTGTCAGCAATTTCATCAATTGTGTGTGTGTGTGTGTGTGTGTGTGTGTGTGTACTTGGTATTTATCACGTTGTGGGGACGTGTGTGTGTGTGTGTGTGTGTGTGTGTGTGTGAGAGAGATTTTTGAGACTTCAAAGAGTGCACAAGCTTATTTTTCCCATACCTGTGTTGAGCGGTGGCCATCACTGTCCATGTTTTGTGACCTGTCAGAAGAATTCATTGATGCGAGCACTGTAAGAAATTAAAATTATAAAGAACATCTGTAATATGCAATGAATTTAAGTATTGACTGTACTCTGGACTGAGTGCTCATGGAGGCTTGGAAAGATTATTAATTGAGTAGGTCAATCAATCATTGCACGTAATATTGTTTTTGGATTTTCTCAAAAGCTCATGAAAAAGAATTGATTCTAAAAACGAATTATTCAGCATCAATATTAACTTTAAAAGAGTTGTATAGATGTTAGAAAGTGTTCGAAAGAGCTATTTTTGCTCATAAAGTAAATGCAGCGTTTCATAAAAGAAACTGGCAACTGGCAAATTCAAATATTGCTCATTTAGTGTTTATTTTCTCCCCCTAAGTATATTGTATTATTAATTTGTTTTCATAAAATCCTCATTTACACACATAGTGTTTTATTTTACTTTTTTAAAACTTGAATACACTTTTTCCTATGGGTTTTTCATTTCTATTTGTATACATTATCCAATTTAAAATATTATCTCATTGTTTGGCACAGTCACTTTAGTATCTAGTCATTTTAGTACCTCCCCATAACTACATATGCTAGATGCTATACTATTACCTTTATTATCCAAGTCCTTGAAATGTATGAACAGTGCCTCCTCAGGTTGTTCACAGCTCTTTAAAGGGTTGAATGGATATAAAATGGAGGTCTCTGAATGCTCTCCCTTCTCTGGGCTACAACAGATTGTGATAAGTTCATGTTAAATGCACTTTGCCATGTCTATTCTCTTTTATTGGGATATTGCACCTGAATATAGTAATATCATTGTACTCACTTTGGTACTGTGCTCTTAAACTGATTTCCAGCCACTGGGCTGTTGTGTGACACATCTTGCATGGGAGCTTCATCTGGCCATGGATTAGCCAGCTTTGTTGGTTGAGAGAAAGGATACAGTATGTGTGGTGTGGGTTTGGGTTGGATTGGATCTGAGGAGCCAGCAGATGTTGAGGATGGTTGCGGTTGATTTTCTGAGCCACTGACATCAGACAGGTTTGATTCAAGCACAGGAGACAGCTAAGGAAGAAGAGGCCACTATTAAATCCTGTATGATAAACGTTTATACACATGAATACTACAAGTGGTACTAATGCTATATTATGTCACTGGTTGTTAAATAAAATAATGGTGAATGATTTTGTGGTAGTGACCATTTTAGTCATCCTTACTGGCTTGAACATGAATTCTTCAGAAAGACAATGTTTTCTGACTTTATAACCAGGCGTTTCAATACTGTTGAAACAAATACTCAATATCTGTAGATTAAATAATTTGGAAATATAGAAGGAATAACCAATTTACTGAAGCATACCTGTACTGTGGCTGACTGGTAACTAGGTTCAGGTTTGAAAGAGCGCAAGGGCTCATTGGTATCTCTAAGGGTTCTTTCAAAGTTTTTTTTGGTTCTTTTCACACCAGTCAAACGGTTTGTTTTTGGTTTGTCTAGAAAACGAAAGATAACATGATTCTACAAATGAGCTTTATTACAAGGCCATAAAATAATGTTTGCGTTGTATTCATTTATAAGTGCACCATCACTGTACCTGTTTGCTCTTTCTTTGATGCAATCTGGTTGACTATGAATAATGTCAGCAGATCCATATTGTCAGGGTTGTATCCTTTGGATGAGTCCATCTTATGTGACCTTCTTTTCATCCTTTGCTTTTGAAAAAAACACCTTGAGCTGGAACAGAGAATTACAAAAGCACAAGTTTCAGATAAAATAACACAAAAAAACTAAACCACCTGTAACCCCAGTCCGATCACTACCAATCATGCAACTACATTCATTTAGCTAGCTGTAGTTATTTTTTGAATTTACAATAAAGTTATCGTTCAAATGTAGTATTAAGACTGTGTAGTTACTAAAAAGAGTGGAAAAAGTCTCAAACAGTTGCTTTGGAGAAAGTACATACTCTCTGTTTTATTGTGTCTTCTTTTTTTTTCATATACTTGCTCCTGGTTAGTCAAGAGAATGCGCCATTATATATATATATATATAAACGTAATTACTTTATATCAAGTATGTTCATTTTACAGTCAAGTAATGATATAAAGTCAGTTATTAGTGACTTTTATTTAAGTTAACGTTAGCAGGTTAGCACTAACCTAGATCCTCCGACCCAGTTTTAAAGGGGTCATATGACGTTGCTAAAAAGAACATTATGTTGTGTATTTGGTGTAATGCAATGTGTTTATGTGGTTTAAGGTTCAAAAAACACATTATTTTCCACATACTGTACATTATTGTTTCTCCTCTATGCCCCGCCTTTCTGAAACGCGTCGATTTTTACAAAGCTCATCGTTCTGAAAAGCGAGGTGTGCTCTGATTGGCCAGCTAGCCAGTGCGTTGTGATTGGCAGAATACCTCAAGCGTGTGACGGAAATGTTACGCCCCTCACCATAC